AAAAAAATAATAAAGAAAGAAAGAAAAAAAGAAAAAAATATGGGTTGTAGCTGGAGTTCTTGAAACGTTAGCGAACAGTTTTTTTCAGGAGATGTTTTTACCTCAAATTCTCTGACAAGTTTGAGAATGTTCAGGTGAGTTCTGGCTCTTAGATTAGATAGAGTTGGCTCCTCCTGATTGCTGCAGAGACATTATTCTATTTGCTTCCATGTGCAACTTTTCTTCTTGCTTGTCCTCTCACTTATTGAAGGGAAAAGGGTAGCCTGCCCCTCTGGCCATCAGCTAATTGGACCCAAATTAGCCTATCTGAATTTTCTCTCCTAGGAAATGAGTAGAGGACATGGTGCTGAAACTGAACCTCTGAGCTGGTGGTTCTCAAATATGGCTCTGTATTAAGATTGCCTGCGCAGCTTTTAAAAACACTTATCTGTGCCCTTCTGGCCAGAGATTCTGCATCATTCGGTGTGAAGAAGGGCATGAATATTTTTAACAAGTTCCCTAGGTGGATATGGATGACCATCTGAGTTTGGGAACTATTAGACTAGAGCACCAACTCATAGAACACCTTCCTATTTACTTCTAATGGTTTCCCCACCATCACCCATATAAATAAGGTTGCAGGGGTATGGTCCTCCAGAGAACTGGGCCTTGAGACTATGACCTTTGACTTTGCTCTGTGAACATCTTAATTTCTCTGAGCCTTAGTTTCCTCAAGTATAGGACTAGATCTCTGGGATGCCTTCCAGAAGTAAGATTGTGAACTTTTATTGTATTTACGTTAGTTCAAGAAATATTTAGTAAATGCCCACTTTATACTAGCCATTTTGAGTGAACTTAACTTGCTGGTGAACAGTTCTATTAATTAGGGAAACCGTGGGATAGTGAAAGAAGCACAGGCTTTGGATTTAGTCATAGATGTAAATTCAGTTTCTGTTAGTTGTAGCTGAGTGTCCTGCCCATATAAGGATAAACTAAGCCTTAGTTTCTTCCTCTCAAAAATGAGGATACTTACCTCACAGGCTTATCAATCATGAGTATTAATTTAAGTAAGTTACCTGCTCCCTCCCGTTGTTTAGATTTGCCATTTTGGCTAGACTGCATATAACCTAACACCATGGACTTTTCCTTATACTTTCTTGAATCCCTTATGTTTCCTGATAATTTGTTACATCTTCATTCTAATATGTACAAGGCAATAGAGTATATTATTGAAGAATCACCATCCATCCATTCACCTGAACAAGGAAGTCTATTCAGAAACTGTATAAGTAAATAGCATTCAGGAAACTCCATTTTTAGACCCTTTTCTTCTCTTACCATAACTATATTGGGGCACTTCACTTTCTTCAGTCTTAGGCTCTTCACTGTAAACTGAGGGCCTTACTTTAAACACTGTCTCTTATGTTTGCCCTTGTTCTAAATATCTTGTGATATTATAATGTGGGCAGATTTCTTAAAAATCAACATTATGATTTTTTAAATTAAAACAATAATTTGATGCTTTAATAACATGAGATGTTTTATTTATATATATATATATAGAGAGAGAGAGAGAGAGAGAGGAGCTCTGGTAGCATAGTGGCTAAAGCAC